TACAACATCTGGTATTCCCAAGTGGTCTCCCATCTGGGCATTGTAGCCAGGTTCAATGTTGCTTAACTTCAGTCATTGTATGGGGATTAGTGTTTCAATGTGATGTGACTGTAAGCTGGGATAATTAAAAACAAAATTAATACAAAAGTTGAATGAGACGAGGTAAGTTAAACCTACATTGAGCACCAAAATTAATATTTACTGCTGAGTACCTTTTGTATCTTTTAATGTTTCACAGTAAATTATAACTGGTGTTTGTTGTATTTCTTCCGGCCATTTCCCTCCTTTTAAGACCGATTCCGTCAATAAAACTTATTAGAGAAGTTCTCTCTCAGAACAAAACATATCACTAAAATAGTTCTTTTATTTTCTTTTTATCCTTTGCTTACCCATAATCTATTATATTTACATGAGATTAGTTTGTCTTGTATAGCCATGTCCATGGAACTGTTCTGACCCAGGGGTTAAGATGGTTTGAGAACAATTACAATACGCAAGAAAGAGAACGACTAATGGCTCAACATAGCTTCTTCTAGATTATGAAGAAGTAAACAGTTAATTTTAACTGTTGATCACTGTCTTTGTTAAAAGTTCTTGTTGCCCAAAAGGAAATAGTGAAATCTTAAACGTCTGTGTTTACCTCATCAGAAACACCGACATGTTTGGCTTCAAACACAATTCTTCTGTAGAGTAAAATAATAAAAAAGGAAAAAGTTTTTACATACATTTCTTTTGTTGTTAAAATTATCAAAGAACTTTTTTTTTGTTCAGGTTTTCTTATAGGTTTTATTTCTGTATTTTAAGAGACAGTTGAGGTTTCTAGGTCATATAATGAGAAAGGAAGGCTTGGAAAATCTGATATTCACAGGACAAATTGAGTGGTAGAGAGAGAGGAAAACAATGTATAATGTACTTAGTGAGCTTTAGTGAATGCATGACGGAACAGAGCTTAGGAGAAATAAGAAAGAGTTTAAGAGCTATAAGGGACAGGAAGTTGTAGAGAGCCATGATCGCCTACATCCTGAGGGGACATAAAGACCAACTTCAGGGAAACAACAAATTTTTCAAAAACTCAAAATAAAATTTATCAGAATGTATGCATTTGTTATATTTTTTCACATCAAGGCATAAAAAATGCCATCATGGATTCCTGTTACCTTTTGCAGCCTGTGGGGTGTCATCACAGTAATTTTGTTGAGTCACAGGTGGTTTAAAAAAAAACAAAAAAAAAACAATCTGTAATCTAGTAAGTAGTTACTTCATTCAATCTGTAAATAACATTGGTTAGGCAATCAAATACCAAGCAAAATTTTTTTTTTTTTTTTTTTTTTTTTACTGAAAAAACCACATGATTGTTTTGGGGCTTACTCTTTCCTGTCTTCTTGATCATGATTATTATATTTATACACTGTTTCATAATAAAACCTATATAATTAAAGCAGATTATAAGTTGGTTGCTTTTCAGGCCGTAAAAAAAAAAACTTACATTTTGTCAGAATTCTTGACATCAGGAATTATCATGCTTATGTTTTGCTATTCAGATTCGTATGCTCATCTTGGTTGTTATGCACACAGTATTTGCCCTTTGTAGCCTCTGACCTTTTTGTTACAGGTGTCTTTCTTCATGCTTAGTAACCTACTTGGAACTGCAAACTAAATGCATCGTTCAATCCACGGGGAAAGATTTTCATTCTCCATTCTGTGCTAAGCTGATAATTAATGCTCCCCCCAGTTTTGTTCACCTATGTGTCCATTTCTTCCACTGAACCATTGTATACACCTTTTTACCACTTACGGATTTTGAACTCACAATTGCCAGGGGATGGAAAAATGGCTCTTTACCCTAATTAATTACTAAAAGAATTATTTTTTTTTTTTTTTTTTTTTTAACTAATAGCCACTCAAGATAGAGGTAAGCGGCACAATTTATAATATGTAAGAAAGACAACAGTTAACCCTAGACTTGAACAGGTTAAGATTGTAATGGTCAGAGAAAGCATCCTCTTGGGATTTCTACAAAGTAGCAGTTCAAGGGAAGAGTTTGAGTGGAACTTATTTTGCACTAATAGATTACAAAGGGAATGATAGTGGTTTGCCTCACTATACTTGGTGGGTCTTAGTTGTGAGAGAATTGGTGGAACTAAAGAATGTAGCTTGTCTGAATATTTTCCATGGAAATAGTGGTAATATAAGGAGAGACTTGCAACATTTCATCAATGGGAAAATAATTCAGCACCCACAAGGCTGCATAAATATTTTTAGACTGTTTAGATTGGAGAGTGAAAACAAGGCAACTCCAGCCCAAATTATGTGCTGTTTAGTTGGGAGATTAAATTTAAGGGGCCAAACTTAACATTTATTATTATTATTTTTAAATTATTTAAATTCTGAAAATTAGGGGACATAATTGTTATATTCAACTCTTATATATGGTTATTTTAACTTCCTAACAAATATTTTATTTGAAGCCAGGCATAAAGGTGTTTCTTCAATAGTAACCCGGTAGAATGTTTTGCCATAGAATCTTATCTCAAGAATTATATCTCTGATAGTTTCAATACAGCTGTAGACAAATCTGCTGGCAACAGCATCATCATCATCATCATCCTTCACATTATTATTCTCCTTATTACTCTTCTCTTTATTCTACTGATTCTCTTTCTTCCTCCCCCTCTTATTATTCTTATTTTTTGCTTCTTGTTATTATTTTCCTTATTCCTCCTCCTCCTCCTCCTCTTACTACTAATACTAGTAGTAGTAGTAATACTCTTGCAGTTGCATGTTTACACCAGATCTAGTATATGTTACTAGGGGATTGAGTGACAAAAAATCTTGTCAAATCTCTAATTTGACCAATATAACATATCCTTACAGGCCATGCCACTTTAGACCCTCTCACTTAATCCTTTCTCAAATTTGTAATTCCTCTCATGTTGTCAAGATTTTCCAAGTGAAGCTTAGATGTGGCACAAGGCTGAAAGCATAGGGCATCCAGTGAGGATTGAACTCACTTTTCAGTAGTAACTGATCTAGCAAGACAAGCTTGCTAACCATTACACCATGTCGACGTGCCCTATTCCTCTCATGTTGTCTTTAGTATTTGATATTTTTAATTTTCATTATAATCCTCTGGTCTAATGTCACAATTGCATCCAAGATTTTTTTTCTTTTATAGCTACTAGGATTTCTGTTTGAATAGTGACATTGCTTCAGATGTCAGTTTCACAATTTATAAGTCATTCTCTTTCTTCATTGTATGTAATCTGTCCGTATCATCTGTGGGGTTTAGATCTGTGTGATTGTTCAACCAAAAAATAGTTTTGGATACATACAGGTGCACCACTGATCTTCTGATAACTAATGGCATGGCACCTTTAATCTGAACAAAATTACAAACAAGTATTTGAATTTCACTTGGTTGCAACACTAATTAACTGGATGGCCCTTCCCCATCCCTGGTGGTATTATGTGTAATATAAGTTCTAACAGTCAATAATGCTGTACAGATATACAAGATGGCATATAATTTGGATCAGATGTGTACTATTGATTTGTTATTACATGATTTCTATTGATTCAGTAAGACATGATAAACAGAGTTCTGGAACTAAAGGTGCTGGAAAAATTGGTGGTTTATCTAACTATGGTTACTTACACTTATGCAAATATTTATGATTGTATCAGGAACAAGTAGTAAGTCTTTATAAATTTGATCTCTTTTACTAGATTTTTACTGTTTACTTTTCATTCTAAAAGTCTTATTCTTATAAGATACTTCTTCATAGTTATTCCTTTGTGGTCACCACAAGTCAGTATAGACACCAAAGAGACCCCAAATCACATGCGGTCATGTCTGTCAAAGCTAGTTACATTGGGGTTTTCCTCATTAGCAGCAGAACATTTTGGCATGTCCAGATACAGGCCTCTCTGCAACTTGACCAGATCTGGGTCTTTGTCAATAAAGGCAACTGAAAAACAAGTAGTAGGCAGTTAGAGAGACTCAGTGTCTCGTAAAGACGTTCCCTTAATACATTTTTGTGGCCTCACTAGTCCAGTTTTCTTTTATTTTCTACTGTCTTTTTCTTTGCCTGTTACCTCATAATTCTTAACAGGACAATCAGTTAAGTATTTTGCCCAATCTCAACACACTCTTGCCTTATTTTACAACATCCTTTATTTCCTGTTTCTTTCTTTTTAGTGTCACCTTCAAATACTCAAGCATTTGTAATGGTGATTTGTGGTCAATGCACATATTTCTCATAATTTATTGCTGTCATCATGGTTTTTCTGATATTAGTACTACACATCTTAACAAAAACTTTCCATTTTAATCACTGTGTCTATTTTTGGCTCTGCACACAGTTTGA